TTCATTGTACAAGAGTTACGTTTCCTCATGAAAATATGAGCTCCAGGGCAGGGATTTTATTAGATATATCCCAAGGCCAAGAGCAGTGTCTAGAGCATGGCAGGCACTCCACGAACATCTGTTAACAAGATACATGACTCATCCCAGTTGTTCCTGTGTCCTTGAGGACCTACCTCTCTCAGTGCTTAATTCAAATCTTTGCCCAATCCCTGCCACCATTTCAATGTGCTGCTTTGCCCAGGTCAGGACACTACAAACACACACCAGTGAGTGTTCCTGTTGAGAAGCCTACTCAACCTTCATCAAAACCCTCTGTCTCCTAACAGATGAATAATACAGTTCTCACTGTTACCGAGTTCTTTCACAGAACATTATTTTCAGTGGGGATGCTGATGGGAGGGAAAAGAGAAAAATTTTAAATTTATGTAAGTACAGGTCTTTTCTCATTTTACAATCTGTTGTTGTTGTTGTTATGTGCCATTGAGTTGGACCTGACTCATAGCAACCCCTCCTTGGGTTTCCGAAGCAGTATCACTATAGAAGTAGATTGCCCAATCTTCCTTCCGAGGAGTGGCTGGTGGGTTTGAACCGCCGGCCTTCTGGTTAGCAGGTACGTTGTTGTTGTTGTTATGTGCCATCGAGCCGGATCCGACTCATAGAGACCCCTCCTTAGGTTTCTGAGGCAGTATCACTATGGAAGTAGATTGCCCAACCTTCCTTCCGAGGAGTGGCTGGTGGGTTTGAACCACAGTCAAGTGCCTTAGGCAATATGTATTTCTCTAAGTACAACTTTGGCAGCTTTCCCACAGAATTTAATATGGAATCTTTATATTTTAGTTTTCTGTTAAGTAGTCTATGTTAACATAATGATTCATTTTTTGATCTAGTTGTTATTTGTGAGGTAATTTTTAAGTACGCATCTGGCTCTACATTTTAAATATGTGTAACCCTGTATTTCTAATGCTATATTTGGTTTGGTAGCACAGTATGCATATATATTACTGAAAAATACTCATTGTAACAAATGATAAATATTGGTAAAGAATTTGATTATGTAATTTCTGTGTTTCATTTTGCCATATCGCAATCCTCTGTTTTGATTGTGTTATACAGATTTTGACATTTCTTCATTGGATAGGCTAATATATTTGACTCTAGGTTACAGGACTATATTTTCTCAGTTTCTGTCATTTTTTTGTTCACTTTATTATGCTCTTAGTTAATATCGCTGAGTTCTCAATTTAAGTCTACTTTATCAGAGATTATAATTAAACAACCTTCCATATATTTGAGAGGGCATAATAAACATGAGCCTAATTTTGATAATTTAGTTAGCATTTGGGAGGATATGAGTGTATTTCTGATTGATCCAATTGTATTGTTAGATTCTTCTCATTTACACCAGATCTATATTTTGTGGAGAATTTACTCTGTATACCGGTAATACTTGCCTGCTAACCAGATGGCTGGTGGTTCAAACCCACCAGCCACTCCTCGGAAGGAAGGTTGGGCAATCCTACTTCCGTAGTGATACTGCCTCGGAAACCCAAGAAGGGGTCGCTATGAGTCGGGTTTGACTCGACAGCACATAACAACAACAACAACAACAACAACAGGTAATATTATACATAGGTTATTTCATGCTATCAAAATTTTGGTGTTTATAAAAATAGAAAAATGAAATTGCTAATAATTCTTTGTTCTGCCCTCCAAGAAACATGAAGTTAAACTTCTCTCTAAAGCCTAGATACTGTACAAGTTGGTGGAATGCACTGCTGGGTGCTAATCTTACCTGCAACTTAAATATTCTCTGACTGTATTGTCAATTTTTCCACAAGCTCTATCTCCATTATTCACATCTCCTGTAAGTCACTTTAATTTCTTTGGAAAATGAGGTAGGAAACATGGATGGTCTAGGAGATGACTGTATATTTCTATGGACGGAAGGCATTGTGTACCTGAAAGGGAACCATGCCAATATATTATAATTTTCTATGGAATTTTCTAAAGACTTTTCTGATTATACAGCACTTATATATATACGTACACATACATATGTGTACGTACATATATAAAGAACTCTGGGGGCATAGTGGATAAAGCACTTGGCTGCTAACCAAAATGTCAGGGGTTCAAACCCACCAGCCCACTCCATGGAAGGAAAATGGGGCAATCTACTTCCGTAAAGATTTACAGCCTCGGAATCATGATGGGAGTTGCTATGAATCTGAATCGACTCATGACTCCCTGATGGCAGGGAGTTTTGTTTTATTGGTTTTATGTATCTACATATGTATATGTTGTTGTTTTTGTTAGGTGCCATCGAGTTGTCTCCAACTCATAGAGACCCTATGTACAGAAGAATGAACCACCACCCAGTCCTGTGCCAGCTCCTTGATGCCCACTATACCTGAGCCCATCGGTGTAGCCCCTCTTTATTTGACCTTCCACTCTACCTAGCATGATATCCTCCTCCAGGGAATGGTCTCTTCTTACAACATGACCAAAGTATATATACATATATATGTGTATATATACATCTATGCATTCATATATACATATATATATATACACACACACACACACACACACACACACACACACACAGATATACATAATTAATTTCTAACTCCAAAAGCACCCCAAATGTCTATTTTTACCTGGTAACTACATTTTAGAGAAAAAATACTTACTGACTAATTATACTTATTCAACATATGGAAAAACTGAAACAATCCAAATGTCTAACATTTAGAAAATGGTTAAGAAAAACATCAAACCAAACCAAACTCACTGCCATGGAGTCAGATCTGACTCATAGAGACCCCTTCCTTGGGTTTCTGAGGAGGTATCAATATGGAAATAGATTGCCCAACCTTCCTTCCAAGGAGTGGCTCATGGGTTTGAACCACCAGCCTTCTGGTTAGCAGTCAAAACATATGCTATTTAGGTTTTATTCTATGGAAACACAGAAGAGTATATAAGAAAAGAAATATATCAAATAGCTTTTTATGATAAAAAATTAGATTAAAATAGAAAATCTAGATATAATAAAAATAATGTTCGCACAGTGATAAGGATACCTCATATACTAAAAATACTAAGGGGATAGTTGTTACATGCCATGGAGATGTTCTTTCAATTCTTTTGCTTGCTAAAGCTAGCTAATAAAAAATTCCAAGTTTTTAGACAAATCATTTTATCTAATATCTGTATATATTTATGCAAATTTATAAATATATATAACATATACAGTTATAAATGTATATAACTAACATATACACACATATATAGACATAAAACATGAGTAAAAAGGCTTTCTCATTAAATATCATGCCCATTTAGAAGAAACACATATTTGTTTCTCTACAAGAACATGGTTAATTTCCCTATTTGAGGCCACATCAGAAGTATGTAGTTCTATTTCCTCCAATTTGTCTTGCCTCCATATAAATTATAGAGAAAGTTAAAACCAAGGTCATCCTAAGTATGCTATGTCAAAAGCAATGAAACACCCAGGCATTGTACACTCAACAAAGACAAGTATTCTAAAAGCAGAAACTAAACTGAAATAACATGAGTTAATTTTATGTATGACTTTTTTAAAATGTGGATTCTTTGGCTTAAATCTTAGAACACCCCAAACCAAAACTGAACAAATGCAGTTACTTAGGATTGGAAAAAGGGAAGAAGAGACATAAGGTATCTGAGGGAGACAGTTCATAATGAAGAATGGATTCTAACACATTAACAGGATAGATACAGTGGAATATAGAAACCACTGATACACTTTGAAAAAATCTATGGTAGAATAAAATCTGAAGAGTGAAAGACTGTGAGGGCTGCTTTGTTATGGCTAGGAAACTTCCTGAGAGATAGGAACAAAGTCAAACACTTTTCTCATTAAACATTTATTGCTCTGTTTAAATCTGTTTGAAGGAGCATAGACGTATATGAAATACGGGACTGGGTAAGAGCCACTCTTCCCCCAGCCAGGATGCTGAGGTTAACACAAATCTTAGTGACGTGCAACTGAAATACATGACTGTCTCCTTGATGTCAGCTTTGAACGCTGTCAACATTAAAGGTAAGGTCCATTACTGTAAGAAACAACCCTTGGTGGGTATTTGTTATTCATAAGTTGTCTAAAACATTTCAAGAAAATAGCATTATGTTCTTTATGAGTATGATATAAAAATCCTTTCTTAATCTATCAGTAAAGGCCAGTTAAATTAAAAATTCCTGCTTTGCTCCAAGCAGCAGATAATTAATTAAGCCTTGTCCCAGGAAGAGCTCCAAAGCACTTTGTGTAGAGATATTCACAGGGCTGCTTGCTGGGAAGCTAAGGATCTCACTCACCCCCTCAATTTCTTAAATACTGTAACTCTTACATCTTTCTTGCCATGCTTTCCTCATCTTACAATGTTTTTTATTAAGCAAATATTATATCAAGATTAAAATAATTTTTAAAGAAAAAAAATTCAACCACAAGCCTGCCACTATGTCAATCAATATAATTTGTCCATTGTTGTTGTTGTTATGTACCGTCGAGTTGGACCCAACTAATAGTGACCCCTCCTTGGGTTTCTGAGGCGGTATCACTACATAAGTAGATTGCCCAACCTTCCTTCTGAGGAGTGGCTGATAGGTTTTAACCATCAGCTTTCTGGTTAGCAGTCAAGTGCCTTAGGCACTATGCTACCAGAGCTCCCAATTTGTCCATAGGATATATAATTTGTAATCGTAACTGCACTATGCATAGAGTCAAGCAATTCTAAGGGCATTACTTAAGATTCCCTGACAGTATGTTCTGGTAAACTTTCCCAGCTTGCATATTTAATTAGTATATATTGTAAGAAATTCAGTGTAAGCTACAGGCCCATCAAAATATAAACATTTAATGGGTTCCCTCTAAATATATATTATATATTAAACTTTATGGAAAATGTAATTTTAAGACACTTAAGTGGTTAACAAATATAAACCACTTTTCATCTTACCTCTTCTCCGGAGAGATAGTAGGCTGAGAGTAGACCACCAACAAAGCGTATATTTACTTCAAAAACAGAAATTTCAGCATTCTATGGGGGGAGAAAAATAAAGGCGGTTAATATAATGATAGTACATAATTCAAAAAAACATTATTGTGGTAAAATGCCCTAAATATTTAAATTTTGTTCAAATCTTATATGCTTGCCCAAAGAAATTTGTTTTTAATGTGTAAATATACATATATAGAATAAAAATTACATTTAAAGCCAGAATTTTAAAAATATTTATAAAGTTCTTTGCTCCCTCTATTCAACAACATACTCAATACTCAGTGTTCTCTATTTGTTCATATGTGATAGGGCCAGGACATCCTTTCTTCTATTCTGTGCTCTCCATCTATTTCATTAATTTGCCTGCTTTTTATTCCTTAAAAGCCATTTGGATTCTTTAGACTTTGGCCAGCAACTCCACATTATTTTTACATTCTTCTTACATCATTTAAAGTTGCTCAGATAGACACAAATAAGATTTGAAGTTCGAGACTTGGGTTCTAGTTCTGGTTCCCAACTTTCTACTTGTGACCTAGGATGGTTACATCTCTTTGGGAAAAAATTTCCTCTTTGCAAAAAAGGAGATGACAATAATTATATATTGTACTTTGGTGAAACAGTTCTTATTTATACCATTAATAGTTTGCTTTTATTATTATTCGCAATGCGTCAAATCCTGTGCACATATCATTATATGAACAATGTCTTTTAATATTTATCAATCCTATAAAAGTAATTATTATGATGTCCATTTTACAGATAAAGAAACTGAGACTTATACTAGTTAGTGTGACTTATTCAAGGTCAGACCACTAATAGGTGGTAGATTTGAACTTTGATATTCTGATTCCTGGTTCAGGGCTCTTCACCACTCTGCTATCCTGTCTCATAATATTTCACGTGTAATGTACCAAGTCTCCTTATTAATGGCCAAGGTGGTACACAAACAGTAACAGTTGCTAATATTTTTTCATTATTTCACATTATTTGGCTACTAAATGAACTGTCCTGCACTTTGTTATCAGATAATCTAGCATGGTTAACTTATGACTGACATAATGTAACATACACTTCCAGCTTTAGCAAGCTTCTTTTCATGTTCATTAGACCTAGTCAGTAATTGTTCACTTTTCACTAACATCAAACCATTCACTGATCATCATGGGGGATACTAGCAAACTATAATATATGGAATAAATATCCAGCAAATGAGCTTAGTCAAAATTACTAGAGATATTATATCTAACAAACATTAAGCAACTATGGTGTTCTAAGCACTGAGCTAGTTGCTAGGGTCACATCAACAAAGATTGAGAAAGTCCTCAATCTCAAGGAGTCTACATTTTAGTGAGAAGAAATATTTCCAGAAAAAGAGGGAGATATACTGTAGTGCCTAAGGCACTTGACTGCTAACCAGAAGGCTGGCAGTTCAAATCCACCAGCCACTCTCAGAAGGTAGATGATGCAATCTACTTCCATAGTGATACTGCCTCAGAAACCCAAGGAGGGGTTGCTATGAGTCGGGTCCGACTCGACGGCACATAACAACAACAATAGCAACATATATTCATTTTATCCCTACATGTTCTCTCTGTAAAGTTCCAAGAATCTAACAATTGAAGCTAAGTTAATTGTTTAACTAAAATATTTCAAAGATTTCCCAATAAAAGAAAGATTATGAAAACTATTTAGAAAAGATAAATACTAGGTTGGAGTTAGGCGAAAGCATCATAAAATAAGACTCTTTGGTGAGTTACTTTAATTGTGCTTCATAACTTATAATATGCACCTAATATAATTTGATTAAAAGCATTCTATATGGCTGAAATTTATTTTTGAGATATATCACTACGAATAAGCATTACTTAAATATTGGTAAAAGCTTCTATGTTCCACTAAAGTACTGCCTTCAGTATGGATTATGCCTTAACATAAAAAAAAACAAAAATCCTTACAACTGGACCAATAAGCAACATCATGACAAATGGAGAAAAGATTCAAGTAGTTGAGAATCTCATTTTACTTGGATCCACAATCAACACCCATGGAAGCAGCAGTTAAAATATCAAACAATGTATTGCATTGCGAAAATCTGCTGCAAAAAAAGACCTCTTCAAAGTGCAAAAAAAAAAAACAACACAAAGATGTCACCTTGAACTAAGGTGAGCATGACCCAAGCCATAGTTATTTTCAATCATCTCATACATGCAAAAGCTGGGTAATGAATAAGGAAGAAAGAACAATTAATGCCTTTGAATTATGGTGTTGGCAAAGAATAATGAATATACCATGGACTGCCAAAAGAACAAACAAATTTGTCTTGAAAGATGTAGAGCCAGAATGCTCCTTAGAAGTGAGTATGGCAAGACTTTGTCTCATGTAATTTGGACATGTTATCAAGAGGGACCAGTTCCTGGAGAAGGATATTACGTTTGGTAATGCAGAGGGTCAGCAAAAAAGAGGAAGGCCCTCAATGAGATGGATTGATACAGTGGCTGCACAATGAGCTCAAACATAGCAATGATAAGGATGGCACAGGACTGGGCAGTGTTTCGTTATGCTGTGTGCACAGGGTTGTTATGAATTGGAATTGACAGCACCCAACAACAACAAATTACTGTGAAGGAAATGGAAGGTAAATCAATTAATTTATTTTGGCTAACATACTATATTTTTTATGTCTAAGATTAATAATATCCAATTAATATAAACCCTCAAATCATGTCACTCTCAATTTGTACCTGTTTTTGAGTTTTATGCCTGAGAATATTCTTCCACATTTCTGTCTATTGAAGTCTGTTAAGATGATGTTATGTTTTTATTTTAGCTACGAGAACATTAGCTATTCATCCCCTCTTCCTCTCATGAAAATTTTCGGTTATTAGGACCTTGACATAGACATCTGATAAAAGTTATTGCAAGGTAGAGGATTGGGTCATGTCAAATATCACAAGAAATATATATCTTTAGCTAGACATCAATCACCTATTGGGTACAGTTGTTCAACCAGGTATTGATCCAACAATGAACCTAAATTGTATTTATCTTGTTCCTTCTGTGAGATATTAAGAGAGATGATCTTGCAGGGTGTCACGCTCAAGGTTTGCTGCTATGTCTTTTGAATTTCATGGATATCTAGTGAACTGTTCAGGAAGCAAATCAGGCTTGTTAGTAAATCCATGCAGGTTCCCAGTAACTGCCGTGTCACTGTCTTTAAAAATCTTGCTCAGAGGTGTCACCAGGTCACCATCAGTAAGCAGTTTTCAGCATGACCATCTTTTTTTTTTTTTTTTCTTAAACTAGAACTATATTTGAGTTCCTAACATCTAAGTCTTTCTTTTTTTTCAAAATTAAGTCTAAATTATTTAGAAACGTTAATTTGAGAGTCTATTCAATATTCTGGGGCAGATTATGCTTTAGGCCAGAGGATGAATTTAGAGATGTTAGGGTACTCCACACAGCTGATGAAAATCTTTATCAAGTCTCTTTCTTCTTTCCTTAAGTTTTAGGGCTAAGAAAATAAAAGTTCTCCTTCCATAACAAATTGGTTGACTTTACTGAGGGAAAAAGTCTATAAATACACTGACTAGAGTCAGAAAGACCTCCATCAGAAAGATGTAGGACTGATGGCTGGTTCAGGAGCCACCTGAGTGTGAGATCTCAGGTCTTGTTTTTCTCATTTGTAAAAAGGGATAAAGCATTCCTTATCAATTACTATGAGTCCATGAATATAAAACCTAACAATTACTATGAGTCCATGAATATAAAAGCCTTCATACTATCTAACACAATTAAGGCACTCAATAAAAAAGCACTGTTGTCACTGTGCAGTAGTTCGCCTAAACATACTAAGGTTTACCTTCTACAGAAGGAGCTCTGGTGGTGTAGTGGTTAAAGCATTCAGCTACTAACCAAAAGGCTGGTGGTTCAAACCACCAGCAACTCCCTGGGAGAAAGATGAGGCAGTCTGTGTCCATAAAGATTTAACTAGAAATCCTAGGGGGCAGTTCTGGTAGCATAGTGCCTATGGCACTGGACTGCTAACCAGAGGGCTGGCGGTTCAAGCCCACCAGCCACTCCTCGGAAGGAAAACGGGGCAATCTACTTCCATAGTGATACTGCCTCGGAAACCCAAGGAGCGGTTGCTATGAGTTGGGTCCGACTTGAGGGCACATAACAACAACAACAACAACAACAGGGGGCAGTTAGTTCTTCTCTGTCCTTCTGAGTCACTATGAGTCAGAATTGACTCAACGGCAGTAGGTATTAGTTATTATTACCACTATGTTGTTGTTGTTATGTGCCATCAAGTCAGCCCCGACTCATAGCGACCCCTCCTTGGGTTTCCGAGGCAGTATCACTACGGAAGTAGATCGCCCAATCTTCCTTCCGAGGAGTGGCTGGTGGGTTTGAACCTCTAGTCTTCTGCTTAGCAGTCAAGTGCCTTAGGCACTACGCTGCTAGAGTTTCTTATTACCACTATGACCAAGTGGAACTTGGCAAGTTTTGGCTAATGGCCTACTTATAAAAATACCTAGATTGGACAAACTGCTCTTTCATTTTGTTTCTTCTCTGGCAAAAGTCACTGCATCAATGAATACAGTTAACAAAACTCATCTCTAAATTCCATAAAAGAATTGACAGCTTAATTCAAGGGCTGAGTGTTACAAATCATGGAAAAATTAGGCGTCAGTACTAATCTGTACTATTGTCAAGGATGTACAAACTGATGATTTCTACTTTAAGTGTAACCTTTTCTTTAATGTTTATATCCTGCGATTAACTGTACTTTATGAAAATTACAGAAGAAAGAGTCTAATGCTACCAGTTATTTTATATGGCTCCCCCCCTCCAGCCCTCGCATTACCCTTCATCTCTCTGAAAGGAAGAATGTCCTGAATTCATGGGTTTGAGGAAAGTGGTCATGCCCTCTCTGCTTCAAAATGATCACCTGAAGACAGACTTCTCCTACCAGGTAAGACAGCATTTTAAACAACTCAGAGATGTACTAGATTGTATTTTTATAAGCTACTTATTCA